CACACACACACACACACACACACACAGTTTCTTGTTTATTGCCTGAATTTTAGAGTCTATGTGGAGGCTGGAGCCCATGTCTGGGCACTTTCTAATCCTGTTTTCTTCCTCAGAGAGGCTGTTCCCACCCTGTTTGCACAGAATTCTCTGAGCCTGCTTGTCGGTGCATACCTATAATCCCAGGGGCTCAGGAAGCTGAAGCAAGAGAATCACGAGTTCAAAGCCAGCCTCAGCAACTTAGTGAGGTACTAAAACAATGGGGCAAGTCCCTGTCTCTAAATAAAATATTTAAAAGATCTGGGGATGTGGCTCAATGGTTAAGCACCACTGGATTCAATCCCTGATACCAAAAAAAAAAAAAAAACAACAACAAAAAAAACAAAACAACAAAAAAAAAACACCATAGTTTAAGGTGCTTCTGTTAATAAAACCATGCCTGAATCTTGGAAAACTCTAAGGACACCAATAGAGAGCACTCTGGAGTAGCTCTCTTGAGCCAGAGGGGATGTAAACAGCTCAGCATCTTGTTCCCTCATCTCTGTGGCACCCCAACCCCTCTGGCCACCCCTCTTCTCCCCCTGGGTGCTATACTAGGCCAGCTAGATGACAGCATGCCTACTGCCCCTTGGAATAGGTGGGATTCCTCGTGAGCTCACTCACAGGGGGGGCAGCATGAAGGCTTGGTGCTCACTATATCCCAGACACTTCTTGCCTTACTCCTGGGGCTGGCTCCCCTTAGTCCTTGGTAGGTCCACCCAGGAGGTACTTCAGCATCTCCTAGGCCCCCACCATACTAGTCCTGGCTCTCCTCTTTGTAGCAGCACAGGCTCAGTCTTCAAGGGTTTTTAATGGAGTCACAAGTGCAGTCATTCATCACTCAAAAGTAGGCACATGCCCTGAGAAATGAGTCATTGGGGGATTTCATTGTTGTGTGAACTTTCTAGAACATGCTCAACAAAACTAGGCCATGTAGATCAATAACTCAACGCGCCCTCTCAGTGGAACCAAGAAATGCAGTAAACATGAGATGGGTGAGGCGGCAGCTGGCGTAACACAGCAAACTGTTTTACACTAAATTTTTTTCTTAATTTTTAATGAAGTATTTTTTTTTTTTTGCCCTGCAGGGGATTGGAACACAGGGCCTCACACATGTTAGGCAAGTGCTCTACCCCAAGTTTTATCGCCAGCCCTCAATGATAATTTCTAAGTAGGAGCACTTTCAAATAACAGTAGAAAGTGTAGCAAATCCATATACCAGTAACTTAGTCATTTACCATCATTATCAAGTATGCACTGTACACAATTGTATGTGTAATACTTGTATACAACTGGTAATTGTATCCACACGGTAGGTTTGTATATACCAGCATCACCCATAAACACAAATAACACATTGTGCTAAGATGTGAGAGAAGCCATAGCATTACTAGGTGTTAGGGGTTTTTCAGTTATAATCTTAAGAGACCACTGTCTTGTTCTGGCCCATTGTTGACCAAACTAACATTTTGCAGTGCGAATATATTTCAGTTCTCACTGAGCTGCTAAATACACTCTTTTGTCATATTTATTGAATGTGTGTCTGCTGGGAACAAAACCCAGGGCCTCACACATGCTGGGTAAGCACTCTACCACTACTCGATGCCCCCAGCCTTGTTTTATCACTTTTATTGATCTAACTAAACACACCCCACTTCTTCTTTTGAAAAAGAACAAACCCTAGTAGACAAATTTGCAAATGTTATATGGTCACTTAATTTAATTATGCATTATTACTTTGGACATATGTTGCCTTTAACAGAACTTTCTTTCTTTCTTTCTTAGTGGTAGTTGGTATGGTATCTTTATTTATTTGTTTATTTTTATGTGGTGCTGAGGATCGAACCCACTACCTCACATATGCAAGGCAAGTGCTCTACCACTGAGCTACAGCCCCAACCCCAGAACATGGTTTTTTGACCTTCAAAGATTCAAAGACTTGAGGTCAACTGGTCTAGTCATTCTTATTTATTTGGGGTTCTGGGTGCCTCCTCAGGCAAAAGCAATTTTGCATACAATTACTGGGACACTCCTCCCACCATGTGGTCCAATAAACAAGAGAATGTCAACAAAATCTCAAAAAGGCTAAGATAACTCAAGCTATCAGTTAATTATACTGTCAGATTCAAACTCTGGCCTACCGACCCCCTGGCTGTTCCAGGAGGCACACACCTAAGACCAGGTTGCCGTGTTCAAAGCCTGGTTGCGCTGCCTATTGGTTATGTGACTTGTGCAGATTATATAGCCCCTTGGTACTTTAGTTTCATTAGCTGAAAATGGGATGACAATAACAGGACCTTCCACAATCAATGCCTGCCACTTGGCATTACATCAGTGTTTGCTATGATTACTTTATAATCAAGAAGGACAAGTTTGCTGAGTGTGGTGGCATATACCTCTAATCCCAGTTACATGGGAGGCTGAGGCAGGAGGATTGCAAGTTTGAGGCCAGCCTGGGCAACTTAGTGAGACCCTGTCTTGAAATAAGATTAAAAAGGCTGGGGTTGTAGCTCAATAGCAGAGTACTAGGCCACCATGCAAAGCCCCGGGTTTGATCCCCAGCACTGGGGCCCCGGGGGGCCAGTGGGGGAAGCTCAGGGAGATAGGCACTTTCCCCTGACCACCAACCTGCCAAATGCTATATGTGACTCCATTCCCAAGATGTGACCCAAAGCCTATAGTCTGGGAACACAGTACTCTGCATCCAAATTTCTTCCACCAACCCCATTTTCTTTTTCTTTTTTTTTTCAATTTTATTCTTAGTTTTGCATTTTTTTCTTTTTTATTATTTATTTATTCTAATTTGTTATACATGGTGGCAGAATGCAATTCATTTTATATTACACATGTAGAGCACAATTTTTCAAGTCACTGGTTGTACACAAAGTATTTCCACACCATTCGTGTCTTATACATGTACTTAGGGTAATGATGTCTCACTCATTCCACTGTCATTCCTAACCCCATATCCTCCCTCCCCTTTGCCCTATCTAAAGTTCCTCCACTCCTCCCATGCTCCTCCCCAATCACCTGCATCCTATGCGTCTGCAGCCTCATATCAAAGAAAACATTCAGCCTTTGGTTTTTGGGGGATTGGCTAACTTCACTTAGCATTATATTCTCCAACTCTATCCATTTACCTGCAAATGCCATGATTTTATTCTCTTTTAATGCTCAGTAAAGTTCCATTGTGTATATATACCAAAGTTTCCATTCATCAATTGAAAGGCATCTGGGTTGGCTCTACAGTTAAGCTATTGTGAACTGTGCTGCTATAAACATTGATGTGGCTGTGTCCCTGTAGCATGCTGTTTTTAAGTCCTTTGGGTATAAGCCTAGGAGTGGGACAGCTGCCACCGACCCCATTTTCAAAGTCATGACTGACTGGCACCAGAGCAGGGTGCAGAAGGTCCGGGATTAGCTTCTTCAGAGAGCAGCCCTGGAGTTCAGCATGAAAAGCCACCTCTTCCCTGCAGAGGAAGGACCACAGAAGAGCGGGAGAAGGGGTAGGTGTGGGAAGTCAATGGCAGGGAAAGGGGATGGAGGGAGCAAAGCAGGTGGGGACGTCTGGCCTCTGACTCCTGCTCTTGAGGTTGCAGAAACAGCCTGTGACAGCAGCACAGGGGGACAGCATAGGTCCAGGGAACTGGCAGGGGCTGGACGTGCTGCAGAGAGGCTTCCTGGGAGCCTCTGGGTTCCGAATTCAGAGATTCCCCTCCCTCCCTGGGGTTGTGGGCTGGGCTGTTGTAACACTTTCGGTTTTGTTTTCCTCATCCTCCAGAAACGAAACCCAATAGAGAAACTCCAGGGAGCAGAGCATGGAGGGAGACTTCCAAGTGTGCGGGAACTGGTAAGAAGGCACTTTCTCTAGCAGAGACCAGGTGACATCTAGTGAGGGTCAGACCAGAGAAGGCTGTTTTTGAAGCGAGGAGGACACAATGTGATCTTTGCATTCAAACGCCCAGGAGGGTGGGGACTGGGATCCCCTGGGGTTGGGAAGTTGAAACCCTGTAGAGGGGTAGGGTAGTCAGGAGAACTGGAGCTTGAGTACCCTCCCTCAGATCAGCTAGTTCAGACCTTCTGGATCAGGCCTGGAGTGAAAACATGCAGGTGAATTGTCCTGACTGAGCTACTCATACTTGGAACTTAGAAACTGACTTGGAGTTCTGATAATATGGCCTCCACACCAATTTATGAAGGAAAGGGGCCCACGGAGATTCCTCAGGACCATTTCCACCCTCACCTTGAGAGCGAGCTGAGCAGGTACCAGGCCCACACCTCTCTGTGAGTGGCAGCTGCCCGTGGAAGAGCCTCACTCTCGAAGCTCTCTACCAGCGGCAGGAACCAGGGTGGAACATCCCCAGAGAGCTTTGCTCCAACCAGACCTTTCTAGATCTCTGGTCCTCAGAACAAACTTAGGAAGATCTCAGGGAACAGGACAGGCAGAGTAGAGAAGGGGGAACAGAGGAAAGGGAATGTAAAGCCACTCATGTGCCTCTGACCAGGCAGCTGGTTCTAACCAAGAGTAGTGAGATTTGATGGCCACTCCTGGCCCAGTCCCATGTGATAGGGACTTTGACAGGCTCTTCTCTGGACATCTGGGCTGTAGGGCTACAGTCTCTATAGAATAGTTTTCTTCCTCCCAAGCTGCCAGCAAGAATTGATGGAAACGAGGGTGGGAACGGTCCGGGGGAATCTCCATGGGCCCCCTTCTTTCACAGATTGGTGTGAAGATCAAATTATCAAAACTCCAAGTTAGGACCTAAGTTCTGACACGTATGAGTAGCCCAGTAGGGACAGGCCTGATCCAGAATGTCTAAAATAGCTGAGCTGAGAGAGTGACAAAGATTTTTGGGAAAACTGCCCTGCCCAGGAAGTGGGAGGCTCAGAAGCCTTGATTCATCGGGAAGGGCTTTGTGACCTCTCTGGCAGGGAACAGGTGAGTGGTCTCTCACTCTCAGAGACATGGATCACTCTCGCATTGGAGATTCTCAGTTGTCATTATCCTTGCAGGAAGCCTGGGACTGGCAGGGTAACTGGCTAGAACCAGCAGAGGCACCAGAAAATGAGGGGAAAAAAAGTTTGGAAGAACTAAATATTTGTTATTGCATTTTGATTACAACCTTACTGATGTGTAATTGACCTAGGATAAACTGGATGTCTCTAAAGTACCACTTGGGACGTTTTCATGTATGTCCAATACCTATGAAACCATTCCATGATCCAGGAAATGATTTTATCTATCCCCAGAAAAGGTTTCCCCTTGCAATCCCTGCCTCCTGCTTCTTCACACCTGCTGGGTCCAGCACTGGAGGAACTTTGTAATCGTCCTTAGACTTATTATGAGGTGCTGCATTGTTCTGATTCTGGACCAACATTGGGGAAGGCAGGGCAGGTGGGGTCAATGCCATCATATCTTCAGTGCTGATGGACTCCAAGGAGCTGGCCCTGGGTAGAAAATAAGCTCTGTGTTCTATACCATGACAATAAGCCTGTTTTTCTCCCTCCTGGCTCCCACAGCAGAAGAAGTGTGGCCTCTGCCCACTTCACCCTCCACGAGGCCCACTGCCTGCGGTTCCTGGTCCTTTGCCCAGAGTGTGAGGAGCCCATCCCACAGTCGAAGATGAAGGAGCATTTTGAAAATGAGCACCAGCAGGTGAGCAGGTGGCAGGAGGGATGGGAACCTATGGCTCGGGGGCCAGAGTCCAGTCCTCCCTGGTCCCTGTGGGCAAGCTGTTCAGCCCCTGTTGAGCCCCTGAGTGTAAAAAGTATGTCTTTCTCATACTAGAGTGACTCTGCCCGCAGTTTCTCTTTCTCAGATTCTTTTCCTACAGGTTCGTGGGTCTGGCCAAGACCAGGGAGGTTCCTGTTTCAGGGAAGCTTAAATATTCTTTCAAGATTCCTAACCAGGGAAAGCAAGAAAGGAGGGCAGACAAGCATCGCTTCTTCTTTCCTGCTTTTTTATGTCAGTCTGTCTTGGGGCCCTCTTGTCTGTCTGTCTGGAAGTCCTCAGGCTTGGGCATCTGTTTCAGCTCAAACTCGTCCAGCAAATGCTTCTTGAACACTGGGCTAGGTGCTAGAAGGAGTGAGGTAGCCACACCTGATTCCCCACCTTCTAGAAACACCAAGCACCAAGGTGGATGTGGGGAAGGCTGGAGGTGTGGGGTGAAGTTTCTCTCTCTTGCTGTCCTCTCTCTCTCTCTCTCTCTCTCTCTCTCTCTCTCTCTCTCTCTCTCTCTCTCTCTCTCTCTCTCTCTCATTCTTTCTCTGTTTAAATCAGGTGTGAGATGTGTCAGTAAAGTACAGAAGCTCTTGCTGGAATTGCATGCAGTAAGAGTCAGGTGCAATTCCTCCTCTACAGCCAAGCAGTCCAACATGGGAGAAGGAGAGCAAAAGGGAGAAGCAGCTAGTCATAAATTCCCTCTGAACATTGCCTTCTCACCCAAGTGGGTTCAGAGAGCCATGAAGAACCAGCCCCCCTCAGGAAAACACATTCCCCCCATCCTCAGATGTTGAATAGGAGGGTTTTCTGTACGTCCAGGGGTCCAAGAGAGCTCAGATTCCTCGAAGACTGTCCTGTACTCTGGCCCTTGCCCTCGCCTTCTCTGACTGGCTTCAGTTCCCTAGGGAGATGGATTTGGGTTCTTGACCTGCCATCCAAGAGGCCAATGATCATGCCCTTCCTGCTGCCTCCCACAGACCGAGGAACGCCAGCAAGACTCCATCCAGTGCAAGTTCTGTGAGCTGACGGGGTCCCTGAAGGAGCTGCAGATCCACGAGTCCCGCTGTGACAAGCAGACAGAGTGCTGCCTACACTGCGGCCAGTTCATCAGGCTTCAAGTGCTAGCCCGGCACCAAGAAGTCTGTCCGGGTAGACAGGCTCAGCTTAGAAAAGGTGAGCATCAGGGAAAGCCTGGGGAGGAAGCGGGAAGCCTCAAGGGTCAGAGCCTCTCCTGGGCGAGATGCAAGGGACTGGATGTCCTCCATGGAGCAGAGGAGAAGGCCGTTCCTTGTGTGTACCTCAGTTCATCTGCTATTCTAGTTCTGCACCAGGCTCTAGAGGGGTCTTCTTGTGTGTCTGCCGAGGTCTTTAAATGACTGGTCTAGGAAGACCAAGAGGCCTAGGCGGGATGGGGGCGGGGGCTGAGAGTCCTCAAAGTGGGGGGGGGGTTCTTTGAACTCCTCCAGCGCAATCTTAGCCCGGTGAGACACCACCCCCCCCCCGAATCCTTTTATAAATGAGAAATCTAAGAATGAAGCAGGGCTTTCTCAAAGCAGAAATAAGACTGGACACTCATGCTTCCTGATACAAAATCTAGTTCTTTCTACCATCTGCAATGGCCAGAGGGGAGCTATCTGTAGCTCCTGAACTTCACCAGGCCTGTGTGTTGGCCGCCTGGTATCACCTTCTGTTCTCTTGGCCCAATTCAATTAATTCTTTGTGAAGGTGTGTTGAGGACACAGCTCTCAATGTGGCCGATGTTTTTGCTACCACGATGTGGTAACATGGGGGTGGAGAAAGCCTAAAACCCCTTAGATGATGAATCTCTCCTGGTAAACCCCTTAGATGATAAATCTCTACCCAGGGTCAAAACTGACCCATGAAAACTGGACAGCGAGAGGTCCATGCATGCTTCCTTCATTTCCGTGTGCCTGGGCTTCCACACAACCAACACAACCTGCACCACAACTTCATCCACACAAGTTCAACACAACATGGCTTCAACCTAATGATGTGTACAGTCAACATCTAGTTGGATCACAGATCTTGGAAATGAGTAGAACGAGAGAGAGTAGCTAGACAGGTGTGGCCCCTGTAGTAATGGCTCCCCTTATCGCCTTAAAAACCCAGCCCTGCTAAATGTCTCTTCCCCAGGGTGGCATGCTGCCCTGAGTGCACAATGTGGCCACATCCCTGTGTGGCTGAGGATGCTGGCAACGCAGGAGACTTAAGATGGGGCCGGCCTGGGGGCAGTTCATGCTCACAGGTACACGCCATGCAGGCAGTCAGGGGAGAGCTGGGCTAACCATTGTCAAGGGCAATCATTTGTGGCGTTGTTTCTGTGCTTATTCAGGGAAGAGAATTTCAGCTCCTGAAAGGAAGATCCCCCGTGATTATTACAACCAAAAGTATTCAGAAAATGAGTCCATCCTCCATAGGGTGAGTAGCAATTAGTCGTTTTATCACGATGCCAATAGCTAATTCATATTCTAAAAAAAAAAAAAATGTGACGTGAAAGAGCAGATTCTGGCCCAATTTGTCACAGCGCATATATAAAGGTTCCCATATTTATTTTTTGCTTGGTTCCAAAAAGGATTTTAGTGAATTCCTTTCAGTGAATTTAGCATACATAATTGACCTTCAAGGAGTACCCATGACCTCCCCTGATATTTCTGATCACCTCTGACCCTCTACAACTTTCAGGACCTGCAGGGCCCTCGGGGCCTTGTTAGTGCATTGCTGTGCCAAGTTGTTCCCTTTTTTTTTGTACAAGACGGAAAAGTCACCACAGCTTCTCTCCAAAGACCTCAACTTCTCTTTGGACACAGAGCTGTTTACCTTTCTAAATCCTTCAATTCATAGAACTTATAGAATATCAGAACTAATGACATCCTCAGCCACACAGGGATGTGGCCACATTGTGCACTCAGGGCAGCATGCCACCCTGGGGAAGAGACATTTAGCAGGGCTGGGTTTTTAAGGCAAAAAATATATATATGTATATAGTAAGATATACATGAAATTCGCCATTAGTGACATATTTGACTTTCACAGTGTTATGTGGCCATCACCACTCTATTTCTAGGGCATTTTCATCACCCCAAAAAGAAACCCTGTGCCCACTGGCAGCTACTCCCCATTCCTTCCTTTTCCCAGGTTCTGTGGACATTTTATATTAGTCAAATCCTCCGTGGTCCTCTGTGACTGGCTTCCTTCAGTTAGCATACGTTTTCAAGGCTCATCCATGTTGTAGCTTTGACATGTGTGGGTACCTTATTCCTTTTATAATCTTTTTTTGTGTGTGTGTGTGTGCTGGGGATCAAACCCAGGGCCTTGTACATGCAAGGCAAGCCCTCTACCAACTGAGCTATATCCCCAGTCCTCCTTTTAGGATCTTTTTATAGTCATGCTGCCTTGTGTTTATCCAATCTGTTGCCAGACAAGAATGCTTGGGTTCCTTCTGCCTTTGGCTTCTTGCTTTTTAAACAGCAGATCTGTGGACCAGCAACCTCAGCATCACCCAGAAGTTGGTTAGAAAGACAGACTCTCAGTCCCCTTCTCTAGAAATGCTAAATCAGAATATGCAGGGTGAGGGCTGGGACTGTAGCTCAGTGGCAGAGCACTTGCTTAGCACATATGAGACACTGGGTTCGATCCTTAGCATGGTATTAAAAAAATATACAAATAAAATAAAGGCATGCTATCCATCTACAACTATAGGGAAAAAAATTTTAAAAAGAATATGACAAGACTTACCGGGTGTTTCAAGTTTGAGAATTGCTGCCTCAGCCAAGTGATGACCAGTCTTAGCTGCACATCAAAATCACCTATAAGTTACCTTAATACTGATATTTATCTCTAAGTTGCCTGTGTTTTTTGTTTGTTTGTTTGTTTGATCAGATACTTATTATGCACCAACATAAGAGTGAAGTTGATGGCTGGGGTTGTGGCTCAGTGGTAGAGCACACACCTAGCATGTGTGAGGCACTGGGTTCGATCCTCGGCACCACATAAAAAAATAAACAAAATAAAGGTATTGTGTCCATCTACAACTAAAAAAAAAATTTTTTTAAAAAAAGAATGGAGATAATTACTCCCCTTCAAAATGCTCCAACCTGTAACCAAGGACACCTACATATTTATTTGAAGGTGGGGGGAGCTATAATAACCATGGCACTGGATTTGTTTGTGGTCAGAAACTCTTTGAGTTTTACGGGACTCGGTTTAGCTGACCCTAATTTTTTTGGCAATATCTAAAGCATCTGCAACTTATTATGTGCACCCTCCCTGAGCTTCTTTCATATTTTGTGGAAAATAGGGACAAAGATTTATCTACTTGGTCATGAAAAGAGGACAGCCACAACCACTCAACACCAGAGCCCCCTCCCTCCTTACCAGCATCTATATTCACATCTGCTACCTTCCCATCCATTATCATAGAAGGGCTTTCTGTGCTCCTGTTGAACACTTATCCTCTCCTGATGCACCACATCCTTCCTTCTTGCCTGCACAAGGTCACTGCTACCCTGTTAGAGCAGTTCTCTCTTCTCTCTTCTGCAACATGGAGAGGTTAAATGCACTGTACATGCAAGCAACGACAAAATCTCAAAACAGTTCTCCCCGCTATGTTCAAACATTTGTTATGAATGTTTAAAGAGGTGATAGTAACACTTCTACCCGTGGTATTCTCTCTGACCTTACATGGAAGGCATCTTCTATTTATTTATTTATTTATTTATTTATTTTGAGAACCGGGGACTGATATAGTGTACACTAGGCAGTTTCATGGTTCTGTCCTTAACTTTAATAGTAACGACCCAAAACCAGAAAAACAAAAAATACTTGTCTTCATCCCATTTCCTGCCAGCCAGCCATCATATTATCTCTTTGTTTCCCTTGGTAGCTAAATATTTGAACTCACTATCTATATTCTTACAAACGCTCCGTTCCAGCTTTTGAACCCACTACTTCCCCCAACTCTGCCAAAAGTACTTTTCTCAAAATCATCAATGACCTTTGCCTGGCTAAATCCAATGCTCATTTCTTAGTCATCAATTAAATATGAGCTTTTAACACCCCAGCTCATCCCTCCCTCTTCCTCGATTCATTTTTCTTGGCTTCCAGGAGACCCCACTCTTCTGGTTTTTCAATAGCCTCAGTGTTGTCTCCACTAGACCCCCCCCCAACCTCCTAATATGTGGGAACAGGGCAGAGCTCAGTCTCTTATCTCCTTTTTTATGGTGAAAATATGTGTCATTGAAATTAACCAGCAGGACTTGGTTTAGCTGATCCTAGTTTTTTTTGTTTTTTTTTTTTTGGCAACATCTAAAGCATCATAATCAGGAGCCAGTTAATCATGCCTTCTGTCTCCACCAGGTCTGGTCAGGGTGTTGACCTTGGCCACATCGATGTATTAGAGCCTCTTTAAAGTATGTTCAGATGCTTTTTGGTCTTGACACCCACGAAAAACCCAAGTGTGTTGTCATCTCGTACCTTCTTTACCGCTGACCCAGTGGTCAGGTGCAGCTTGATGGCAGAGGGGTGGAGCTGATCTTTCCCAGCGGTGCTGTTTGAAGGATATCTGGGTGGACCCGGGAGCCACAGGGCCTGGGGCAGAAGGTGGGATGATGGGCAGGTGTGTGTGTGTGTGTGTGTGTGTGTGTGTGTGTGTGTGTGGCCACCTTTCAGCATTGCCTTGGGAGCCTTTGCTTTGGCTTCAGCTTTGGGAGGGACAGGAGCTTCCTTCCGCACTTTGAGCACCATGGTGGTCTCTGGTCTCTATTATTCCTACACCTGCTGCTTCAGTCATTTCATCTAATCTCCTTTTTTATTTTTTCTTAATGCCATATGTAAACTGACACTCCTAAATTTATATCTCAGTCTGAACTTTTTACCCTAAACTCCAGATTCAGGTATTCTTGCCGATTCAGGCATCGATGCTTGAATGCTGGGCAGGCGGCTTAATCGTAACACATCCGAAATGGCATCCTCTCCGCCACTGCTTTGCCCATCTCCTGCGATGGCAACTCTGTCCTCCCGGATATCAGGTGCGTCCTTGACTCCCATCCTTCCATCAGTGTGGGTACCCTGGTGCCAGCCACCTTCACCTCCAACCCCAGATTGCTGCTGACGTCTCTTCACTGGGCTCCCTACCACCCACCTTGCCCACTGCAGTGTGTTCTCACCACGGCCGTCAACACGAGCCTTTAAAAATACAATGATTTCATTCCTCTGCTCAAAATTCTGTACAGCTCCCGCCCCCATCTCACACAGTCGAAATCTGAAGAAGGGCCTCTGTGCCCTGCGTCTTCTGCGCCTCTCTTTCCTCCTCATCACCTCTCCATCTCATTTCCCAGCCCACTGGCCTCCTGGTGGTTTTCCTGAGCACACGGTACGTACCTTAAAGCATTTTCCCTGGCTGTTTCCTCTGCCTGAAAGTCACCCCGTCACCCCACTCCCTGCCATATTTAAAGAGCTACCTCAAGTCTTTGCTCCAATGACACCTTCTCAAGGAGCATCCCTTGACAAACTATTTAAATCTGCAGCCCCTCCCCATCACATACCCATCATCCCTCACCTTCCTCTGTATTTTTCATAGTATCTATCAACTTCTAATATATTATCTAATTTAATTATTTATTATGATCCTTATTAATTGCCTCCTATAGCCTCAGTTAAAATTAAAAGAAAATCCCCAGTGCCTCCTTTCCTATTAATTGCTTCATAGACACAAGTACTCTTATTTTTCTCTTTTCCCTGTTTCCTATGATAATTACCTTTTCTCTCTCTCTCTCTCT